TAAAGAATAAAAAAGTCCATAAAATGTTCAGTCTAGACTAATCATTGATTCGTCTGATCAAGATCTAGTTTTTTTGCGATATTCGGTCAAGTTGTATATTGTTGTTTTACTTTGATTTGATTTGCTTGATTTAATTCACATAATGATTTTAATTGGGTTTTTATGATATAATTTTTTTCTTTCGAATGAGTAGTTGTGATCGTACGCACTATTCCATTTTTCTTCTCCAAATATTGAATTTTCAAATGTGCAAGACTCATTCAAAACTGATTTGGCTAGTACTAGTGTAATAGTAGGGGATGAAAAAAGAATTCAAGTTTTTACTCAACGAAGTAGGTCGTCAAATGATGATATACAACTACATTTCAATGATGTTTTTAATCGTTTAACGGTTGATTTGTCTTCATCTATAACTAAATGTAAACGTACGAGCAACCAAGATTATGATAATTATGATGTTTTTTTTAAAGATAATTTTTTGCTTAATTGTTTCCCATGTAATGAAAATCGGGTAAAAACTGGCAGTTTTACTAGTTCGATTACCGTCTTCTTTACAGAGAAAAACTGCATTTTTTTCCCGATTAACCGTTAAAAGTGATCTGATTATTGTGACATGGATTACGTGATCGACTAAATCATTCATTGGAAAGAAGAAAAGAACAAATGTTTGTTTTATCAAGGTTAAAATTAGTCGACTAGCAATTTATTCATAGTCATAATTTCGATCAATATTCATAGAAGTCTTATTTAAATATATGTTTTCAAAATGAAAAATTCGGTCTGTAATTAATCGCTATTAAAAAATAGATAGAAAATTATTATGCTTCTTGAAATTAAGAGACGTTCCATGAAAAGATCAAAGATTTTCGAATATCGAAAAACATGGGGGTCAACGATTTTTAATTTGACCACCTAGGAATTTCAGGACTTATGTGCCATACATGAATCTAAAATATTAAGGTCTAAACATTTACCTGTGGTGTTCTAGGACCAACGGACCTGAAACATCCTCAAAATAGTGCAAAATATCGTAAAAAATTGATCTGTAACTTTTTTTGAATTTTTCGACCGCAAATCTTTCACTGTTGAAATCGAGTCATATACCAATCGATAGAGCATAAATTGCTCTACAAACTGATATGTTCAACAGTTCTCTATGATGTCAATACAGAATCGAAAAAGTTCAAATACTGTAACTTTAACATCACATAAACATTGACTTTTCCGATATTTTGATCAATATTTCCTTTCATGAAGTGATTCTCATTATAAAAAATGTATCACGCGACAGTGAATTCGATTCTACATCGAATGGTATACTGTGACTTTTTTCAAAATGTTCTAAAGACAGAATGGTAAGAGTTAAAAGTTGAGCATTGAGAGCAAATCTAACTATTATGTATTAGATTGAGTATTTTATTCTATTCGCATGCTCGACTTTTTACTAATTGATTCGAATACAAAGAGAACATCACTTAAAAGTGCTTATGAGCAATTAGAATTGCTATTTTTTTTGAAAATGTTAAACGAGGTTCGAAAACAAAGTTAATGGTGGAAAAGAATTCGCGGTAATACGCGCATATAATAAAATTATGAGATGTCAGAAACAAGCTGAATGACGCTTAATAGAAAACCAAATTTGGTAAGTTAAATAAGAACCATATATGTGATTCTTTCTAAAATTTTCTCATCTTCAGTCTGTCATTATTTTGTCTCGTTATAATGGATATGCTAAGTTAAAATTATGGTTTATCTGGTAAAGTCAATCTGTTGTGTTTAATAAGATTGTTGCCAAGTCTATGTATTTTAGGCTTACTTTTTGGTTACCTAGAATCCATTTCTTATTTGAAAAATAATCGATATTATATTGAATACTTATTATAGTTGTCAGTCGCTGCATCAGAAACAATGTGACTGTTTATGTTGTTAGTTGTGAGCATCGCTCACTTTTTCTGTAGGGCTTTTTCTGGTTACAAAGAGAACATAAAATATTAGTGATATTTGCCAAAGCTTCCACAAAAGTAAAACTCATAAAAGTGAGTGTTTGACCTATCGAGAACTTACATACGTGAAACACAAGGTAATGATGATGCTGAAAGAATACCTAATCTACAATAAAGTGTTATCTAAAACGAGAAATGAAGTATAAGGAAGAAAACGAGAATTGAATGCGTGTTTCTAAAATGTTAACGAAACGTATGAATCAACTTTTTAATTATCCATTGCTGACTTTATTTTTGATGAATCGTTTGCAATTGATGCAGAATCAGATGTTGGAGAAAGTGGAGACGAAGCAAAAGAAATCGATAAACCATCAAGAATATTTCGTGTTCCATCAAGCACATGACGCCATAAGTAAACTTCTAATTCACGATCATATATTTGTTCACTGTCATCAGATTCATCTATGTTCGACATATCATTTGATTTTATATTTTTTGTATCTGTTGAACCTGTGAATGATAATGAAAATGATGCTATAATTGATGCTGTTTGCTGACCGACAATTGGTTCGGTTGATTGTTGTTTAAGAGACAAACGGGAAAAATAACTTTTAATCTGTCCTTGTGTCAGGCATTCATCACTATTAAAAACATAACCGCCATTACTTGTCAACATTTCCATATCTAACGAAACTCTTGCTGAATCCCATTTCACTATATTAAAGTTATATATCTAACAGCTAAGAAGATACCATTACTTACTTCCTGTTTTGATGCCTTCATCGAATTTTTCTTGAAGAAATTTTTTTTGTTTATCGTTGAATCGTACATTTGGTTTAACTTTCTGAGAAGTCCAATTTTGATCAAGCGAAAAAACTACTGAAGTGTTTACAGGTTCAACGACGATAATAGATAATAACGGTGTTGAACGAAAATGATTTGTTGTCAAACTTTGATGAAAACGAATTTTGCCCTTATCAAGAAGTGAATGTTTTTCCAGTTTCATTTTATATTTGCTCGTGGCATAATGACGTTAAAGATTAACATAGTAATGATAACGCGCTGTACAACCATTGGTGAGACAGTCGAAAAAATATTGATCATCTTCTGATTTACTGATTTATCATTCGTGCTACAATCATTTTCACCTTCGTCTTCGCTACCACTACTCTCGTCATATTATGAGCCATTCGAATGATTTTTATCTAAGAAAAAAGATAAATTATGAAAAAAAAGGGATTGATTATGTTACCGGCTTTCTCATAAGAATCATTAATCCAAGGTGTTGCGACATTTGTTGAATAAAACATATTTAACGGATTGATTATTTTTACAGTTTTTGTAAATCCGACCACCGATAAACTTTACCAGTACCAATTTTCCATCAATGCCAAACATGAATCGTAGATGTTGTTTCTGCTGATGTTTTTGTATCATCTTGTGAGTATTCAATGTTGTTCATTTGTTTTACACCTTTCCATTCGATTTTTTCTGCATGAGGATTTTGAATTTCACTTGCGTAAAATTCGACACCTACAATTCGCTCTAGGATAATAGAAAATATACAATAAGTAGGTGAGGATGAGAAATCGTGAAAATAGTTACCTGAAGTCATAAGAAATTCAATAGCATTTGTACAATTGTTTTTTCATTGATAAAACGACGAATCGAACATTTGATAACTGCTGCTGTGTGACCGCATGGACCTTTTCCACTCTGTGGATCACAAAAATCAATAGATTTTATCCAAATGCCCGTTTCTTGGAAAAGTTGTTCAACATTCAATAATGTTTCGACATTGTGGTAGCAGCCCGCATCATCTGATCTAACATGTACATATTTTATTTTAGGTGTTGTTTGCTGTAGGCATAAAAATATATGTCAAAGAATAAAAGTAACTGTTTTAGCATTTTGGACGCATTGATTAAATATATGACAGAACACCTTATGTTGAAAAAATTGATTGATCACATCGTGTCTCATATCAATTTCTTCTGAATTCATCGATGAATCAAGGGACGTGGATGATGTTGAAGGTTCTTTTCGAATAATATAGACAATATACCAGGAAAGACCTCTTTTAGCAAAATGCTCTTTCTACAACAAATAATAATTATGTTGAATGTCGTTGACCGATATTTAGGAACTCACCGTAGATTCTCGATACTTGATCGGTAACCATTTCATAGCCCCCTCGACCTGAATCAAACCGTTTCCTTATCAAGATTGTTTCGAATATCCATACGAGCTTGATCTTGATGGACGATGCGTAATAGATGCGCTTTCTATTCTTCAATACAGTGCACTAGCTGTTGCAATCGATAAATAAGACGATCACGTAGTTCTGTATTTGTTTGATATTGTTCGATAAATGTACGAATTTTACATAATGTGATTTTGAGTAACTCGCGCATCGATCACATTTTTGGTCATAATCATGCTCACAGTTTTTCTGCCAACATTTATTAGCAGCATAACTAAGAGCAAAAGTTGAACAATGATCAGGTACTAGACTACTAGATGAAATATGAACTTTGTAATAGATTTTAAATAACTTCGGCTGGTCTGAAGATCTCGTTTCAATTCAGAAGCATTGATTGAAGTTAAACCTATGAAGGAAATAAGCATACAGAAACAACTACCACAAATAGTTTGCAATGGAAACTCGGTTAATCATCAACATGCCCTTTTTTCTTATATTTGCAATAATTCCATAACATAAACAAAAATCTAGTTAGATAATATAGAAAATAATTCGGAACCGTTGCTTCACAAAGTGGACTTAAAAGAAGAATAATTAGTTTTGATCTTAAAAATGGAACCGTCTCAATTGTTAATTGAGTTGAGGGGTCTTGTCCGGGTCAAATTAACACTCTCACTGCTAAACTAACAAATTTAAAATATTACGTCTCCATAGCGAGCCTGGACTGAGATAATCGATTTTTAAGATATTCAGTTTTGGTATGTGAACATAATATCATGGAAACTAAGCACATTCAATATTTTGCATAATTATCAGGTTTTTGAGAGAA